AGTTGAAAATACCATGTCAAAAATGCACTTTCAACTTATGATATTTTTAACTTATCATGGGTTCATCAGGATGCAACCTCATCATAAGTCAAGGGATGTAGTGAATGTGTATTGCTTTTAATTTTTAAAGTAAAAAAATTGGAAGTTGAACCATCATAATTTGGAGACCATCTGTATTTGAAAAATATGTGCAACTTTCAGCTGACCTCTACAATTTCAGATGAGAAGTTAGCTGCCATTGAAATTGGTGCTCCCTTTAAGTAATATGACATTTCTTTCTGCCAACTCTCATGATGTGTTCTTTGTATTCCATTTTTAGAAGTTTAATTATGATATGTTGAAGTGGATTTCTTTGATTTTATCCTGTTTGAGGTCTGTATAGGTTGTTGAATCTGTGGATTTATTTCTTTTGCTGAATTTGAGACATTTTCAGCCATTATTTTTTCAAATACTTTTTTGTCCCTACTCTCTCCTCTCCTTTTGGAACTCTCCTAATATGAATGTGGGATGTTTTGAATTGCCTTATGGGTCCCTGAAAACTTATTTTTTTAATGTCTATTTTCTCTCTGTTTTTCAAGTCAAATAAATTCTGTTAAACTCTCCTTAAATTCACTATTTCTATCCTATGTCATCTCAACTCTATTTTTGAACCCACCCAGCAAGTTTTCTATTTTTATTGTAATATTTTTCAGTTCTATAATTTCCATTTTATTAATTTTATATCTTCTATTGACTTGCTGATAGTTTCTATTTAAAAAAAATTCATTTCAAAAGAATTTTTAATTGCTTCTTGAAACATTTTCTTTTTTTTTTTTTTTTTTGTCTTTTGTCTTTTTCCGTGTCCGGCAACGGATCGCAACCCTCAGTGTCGCCCCCATACCGGACTGGGGACCGGCAACGGGATTGCAACCCTCGGTGTTGCTCCCGCGCCTCGCTCAGCCAGTGAGCGGGAACCGGTCTGTATGTGGGATCCGAACCCTCGGGCGGGAGCGCCGCTGCGCTTCCCAAGCGGCGCACTATCCAGTGCGCCACCGGGC